CTATTTCATTTGCAATATCATTAGCAATTTTACATAGTCGTAGGAATATTTTGGCCTCGATTTTGGCCATAATTTGTTCTATGATATTCAACAAAAAATAGTTCATGGTGTCTTAGGTTGACCTGAGGAACAGTAAACGATATTTTTTGTAATAAAGTTGGTGAATCTATCAATCCATTTAAGATTTTGTATAAAAAAATTAGGTCTAGAAAGTCTTTTCTATCGCCCAATTTTGGTAAATTTAATAGTTCACTAATGTCATGGTAATCTATTGACTCCAGAGGAATGCTAAGTTTGTAGCCTATAAATCTGAAAAATTTTCTTTGTACTTTCTCTAAACTATTAATATGAACATCATAGAAAGGAGACCAAACCGTTGAAGCATATTCCAAAACAGATCTAATAAGAGAGCAGTACAAATTATTAAAACTATAGATATTAGTAAAGTCCGAAACACTGCGCTTAACAAAACCTAACATTTTCAAAGCTTTATTTTTTACATATTCAATATGATCTCCAAAAGATAATGATATGTCCATTATAACTCCAAGGTCCTTTATTTTATTAACACTTTCTAAATTGATATTATTGAAATTGTAGTTAAATTGAAATGGTTTTGATATTTTATAAAAGAGTATTATTTTGCATTTGTCAATATTTAAATCTAAACAATTTTGCGAAACATAATGATAAAATCTATCTAGATCTTGTTGTACTAATACGCAGTGATTCAAACTTGATATTTCTCTGAAAATTTTCAGGTCATCACAGTAAAAAAGAATTTCACAGTTTTTAAAACATTGTAAAATATCATTCAGAAAACAATTAAAGAAGATCGAAGATAAATGCCCTCCCTGTGGAACCCCTGATGTAACATGAATTGTGTCAGAAAGACAGTTGTGCACTCTGACAGTTTGCTTTCGATTAGTAAGAAAACTTTTTATCCAAGAAAGAAGTGTACCATGGATGCCCAAGGCTGATAGCTTTTGAATTAAAATATTAATATTCACTCTGTCGAAAGCCTTGGAGAAGTCTGTGTAAATTACATCTACTTGACACTTCCTCTCCAGAGCTTCCAACAAGTAATTTGTAAAAATTGTCAGATTTGTAACTGTTGATCTTCCACTAACAAATCCATGCTGCTGCTCAATTATTGTTTTTGATAGTAGAGGACTTATTTTTGATGCTATGATAGATTCAAAAGTTTTTGCGAAAATATTAATTTGGCTTAAGGTAAAGTACCCAGTTGTTGACATGTTAAGGGTATCCTTGCTTATGATCACCACACATTTTCCAAATTTTCAATCCCAAGGCTATGATATATTTTTTAGCGTGATTTCAAACTCATAATTGAATGTGTAGATATATTATTTACTCTATATTCCTATTATTTGTGTTATTATGCCAAAAATACCTGAAAGGTGATAAAACCCCAATAATTGACACCCAAAAAAGTTCACTGCGCCAAAAGTTGACACATTTTTGATCCAAAGGTTGACATATTATTACAAAACCAAATTTTTACTTTTAGGAAATTTTATCACGGTCTGTGGAACTAAGAGGTATATTTTTCTAAGTGTACAATTTTTTAAATGAAATATATACACATAATAACCAGTTATTTTAATTTTTTTTAAGTACATGTTGTGGTTCCATTACTTGACACTCTTGAAACCAATAGTTGACATGTTGCCTGTATCAGTAGAAACCCTGGTAGAAACATCAATAATGTAAGAATCAAACTTTTTAATAATAAAAAATAACATTGGGAAACTTTTTGTTGCGAAAAAAATACAAATTTCAATTCCAAATTGCTAATAAAAGAAATTGCTTGGAAAGCATTGGTACAATGTGTTTTCTTGCTGTTGTAGCTGCAGTGAGCCCCCTATCGCAATCATCCAATGCAGCAATCACGTCTTCTGGTAGTTCTGGTGCATATTTCAGCAATTTCCATTTTTCATGCGTCATCTCTTGATTTAAACTTGAAAGGACCAATTATTGACACTCCAAAGCTCCAAACCTTGACAGGGGTAACAGGGGTGTCATCTTTTGGATCTACGACCGTTACATTCCCCAAACCCATATCTAGGTTTCTTTTTAATCCAGAGCAATAAAAAGAGAGACTACAATGCTAAAATATTTTTACCGCCAAAAATCCATAAGTTGACACTAGTGTCAACATTTGGATCACCCCTCGATTTGGGCTTCAATAGTTGACACCCCCCCTTAAAAAGTTTATGCCAGTTGTTTAAGAGATAAAACAATAATAAATATGTATTACAATGTATCTTATTATACAGTAAATATATATTATTCATAATTTATCAACCGTACCTTAACTTTGAGAACTTTTGTTTTTATATCTTCTTAACTATTTTCACTAGAAATCTGGGAAAAAATTCAAACATTTGCACATGTTCACTACTTCTTGCCACAATTTTGAAAAAACTTGTCATTTCAAATCCATACATCAGCTATAGCCTGAAAGATGGCTCCAACAATACTATAAGCTATTTCAGTTAGCTTATAACCTATATAAATTCTTATTTTCGGGAATAATATGCTAATGTGTCAACTTTTGGGACCCTGTCAACAACTGGGTACTTTACCTTATTGGTCTATAGTTTTCCACTTTTGCCTTGTTGCCACTCTTGAAAATGGGTTTGACAAAGGAATCTTTTTGTGCCGGTGCTTGGTTTATCTCAAAGTTGAGGCCAACTAGAAAAAAACTGAGAAAGTCATTGAATTCTGCTGGAGAAAGTGCTTCTACATTTTCCTAGATTCTAGAAAGTTTTCACAGAAATCAATTGTATTTATAAACAAAACAAAAGTTATGAAGGTTTCACATTATTGCTCAAAATCGAGAATTACCCAGCAGCGTTTTCCTAGCAACGCACATTTTACGCGGCGTAGAACGTAATACGGCCGACGCAACGCAACATCCAATGCGCTGCGTAAAAGTGTTTTCCTAGGATTGTCAGTTGCGTCCCGATCGTCGCGATGAGTATATCAATAAAGAAATTAGCTTTGGCTTTATTATTAGGTCTGCTTCTCCAGAAAACACAAACCAGTTCGAGCGAATTTCATTGGTTGAAAACAGTCAGAAAACTAGTTTCAACCAATGAAATTCACTCTGACTGGTTTGTGATATCTGCAGAAACAGCCCTATTATTACAAGATGAAAATTTGCAAGAAGAGATTGATATAATAGCCACGATTCATGATAGGACTAGAAATTCTAGTCAATTATTTCGAAAAAGAAGAAGGGAAGGAGCATTTAGAATACTTACTGGGAATCGTAATGGATAGATATTTGAAATGGGACGTACATATCAACAACCTAATAAATAAACTATGTGTTATACTTTTTAAATTTAAACAACTAAAAAAAATTCTTTGCTTTTCACAACTTAGGATTATGTATTGTGCACTCATTCAATCCTTAATTCAGTATGGGATAGTTGGGTGGGGTGGAGCGTATAAAATACATATTGAAAAGTTAGAAAAAATTCAAAAGGTTTTCCTAAGAATAATGATCAATAAAAATCGCCTTTATTCAAGTAACAAAACATATGAAGAGAGTAAGCTAATGGACATTAATAAATTATATACCTTCAAATTGTTAATATATCAATTCAGATATAGGCACAAACTAAATATGATTGATCACCCACATAATACCCGACAAAAGTTGAAACAGAGGGTTGCAACTATTAAAACCAAAAAGACAATTGCCCAAAGAACAATTTCCTTTCTCGGGCCTTACATCTACAGATTTTTGCCAGATTTTCTTAAGGATGTCACTATATTGAAATTGTTTAGAAGTATTTTGAAGAAATGGATTCTTGAAACTCCCCGTACGTTTTTTAATGAACTAATAAATGGAAAACTCAAATAACATTACTTGCATATCGAGTTGCATATTCAATCTTAAGGTTCAAAGAATTCTTCTTTAAAATAAGCAAATTCTCTTTATGAATCTTGTTTTTTGAAGTGCAGAGTGACAATGGATTTATTGAGGGATTTATACAACATAGTGCTACTGAGGTATTTTTTTGTTTTTTTTATTATTTATATACTTATAATTATTGTTGTAAATTTATGGAAATGGGTAAGCTCCCGGGTATGCTAAGGGTCAAATTTAGATTGTTTTGTGTTTTCTAGTACTTCCTATGACTACTTACTATTTTGTTTCAACATGTAAACGCGGTCTGCTTAACTGAATGGAACAACAAGAAAAGTCTGCACACAAGTCCATCAGGACTTCAGCAGAAATGTTCTTATTTATTTTCCTTCTGGTTTCTAATTACATATTATAGCTCGAAGTATTATTGTTATATTATTTTTTATTTGAATTTTGGTGGGTACAAGTTTTATGTATGTATCTGTGTAATAGGTAAAATATCAATTGTATCCAAATTTAGAGTTTAGGTTCTGTATCACTGAATAAGGGGAAGGAACTCTGCGTACAAGTCCTACATTAGAGCTTCAGCAGAACATTTCTTTCTTTTTTTGTGAGGCATAGCCTAGAAAGCCTGGAAGTTTTACGTAAGCTGGTACATATAAGGTCTGTTTCTGCAGAAATCACTCACCAGTCAGAGTGAATTTCATTGGTTGAAACCTCGGTTGAAACTAGTTTTCTGACTGTTTTCATCCAATGAAATTCGGTCTGACTGGTTTCTGATTTCTGCACAAACATGCCTATATGTCTGTAAAATGCGTCCAAATCAAAATTTGCGTGCCGTAAAACAAGTAGATGAATGTATTTTTCAGTATCGAATTGAGGAGGGCTGTGTGTCAAGTGGTAGTACAGCCTTTATAAAGAGGTTTGTAGCCATAGTAAAATGTGTACCAGTTTAATTCAAGTTTGGCAAAGTTGGCAATGAAATCAGCAATCAGGAAAAAGTGCAAATCGCATAACTGTGTATGGGATCAAAACGTTCAAATCTTTCTCCACAATAATAACAGGACAAATAAAAATAGCCTAATCTAGAACTCACTTCAATACAGTTTCATCGTGCACATTTAGCTTTTGGGCAGTGCTTTTTAACAAATGTTTATCCATGTTTAACAACACAACAACCAAATATTCACAACACAAATAATGAATTTATAAATTCAAATGAAAAATGAGGTTAGGTATGGCGCTTTTTTTTCATCCATGTCACTCCATGTATCCACCATTAGGAGACAGTCATTCGGATTTTCCATGAACTAGACAAAGATAGACTTATCATCGGTTGATCCACTAGTGAAAAACAGAAAGAGCCTGTACCGTCGTACAGTTATGGCGGGAAACTCGGAAATAAGTTTTGATAACGATTTCTTTTGGTAAAGTTAGATTTGGCAACACCGTCACAATGAAAATTTCAACCAGTAATGTATAGATGCACAGATAGATGGCACCACGGGAATTGTTTCAATTGGTTGTCGTCAGAGGTCGGTACAGTACTAGTAATCGAGTAAATTCAAATTCGAATCTATTTTTCTGTAATCTGTATGGTTTTTTATAACAAGATTAAACTCTTATTTTTGCAAGTGGCACGTTTTGTTAGGGCCTAAAGAAGCAGAACTACTGCAAGGGGTTAAAAAAAATAACAAATCATAAGACAGAGATGTGAATTTTTGTTTTTCATGAGAACTTATTTAGAATTTCCACGATTCTACGAAAAATTACTTAAAATTCCGCATTTCCGAGGAATTTGGCGCGTACTATTCAGCAGGACAGAGCAGCTGTGAAACTGATCAATATGCAGAGGCTTGGGAGAGATCGACCGCTTCGATGACGACGTGAAGGTATCTTGGCCACCTTGGCAGTGAGGAGAGTCGATGGGATGGGACAGAAACCATGAATACAAAATTGGATAATTCAGAATAAAATCATGCTTGAACAAAGAAAGGGATCGTTTACGAAAAGTTCTACCTAATGAACTGTTGATCATACATTATACTTCATAGGAAATTTTTTTAAATAATTGAGAAAATTATGTCTAACTTTTGAAAAGAACGAGCAGTAGAGCAGTTCTTCATTCACTGGACCTGAACATGCAGAAGGGCCTCCCACTTCTTTACACTCGCAATGGGGTAGTATACAAGTGATTTTTAATTACTACGTAGTGATATACTCGACGTATCCTACTATTTAGTGTAATCAGTTGCTTTGTAAAAACCGCAGTAGCCTGGAATTTTATTTTTTAAATTTCCTCTTAGCCCCGCTCCTACGTGAGAATAAAAGTTCGTGACGTAGTTAGTTTTTCCAATCTGGCAACACATCAAGGTTTTGAGAACACACAATTTGCACTGACATTGACCGTCAAGAATGAAACATCAAATTTACTACATCAAACAACGTAAACAAGTCTGTGACAATGTCACATGTCACACGATTCACACGACACCACACGCACAGCCTCCTACATTTAACAAGCCATGAAGTTAAAAAGGCAACACCGCAATCTTACTGCCAAGTGGTGCTGGTGGTGTTTGTTTTTATAAATATATATTTTTTATTTTAATAATATGAATCACGAAAAATGCATAATTTATTGTACTAAAGGGCCAAAAACAGTAATTCAATGAATAATATAACTATTTGTGTAAATAAGAACAGTAAATAATTGATTTAAATGAATATATTTCTAGAGTCTAAAGTGGTATAGGCCTATGTTTCAGTATGTCTTTTGAAAATCTAACTTTTTCTTTCTTCGGGATTTTTTCGGAAGACAGGTCCATTCAAATACTTGAGCTGATTTTCGAAAATAAGAGGTACCTACTTTTAAGAGTTGGACGTTTCAGTTTGAACTCTCGAACTACGCCTTTATCCTTGTTTGTTTCAAATCTAATTATTTCGGTTTCTTCAACACACCACAGAATTTTTCGTTATTGTATAATCTCGGGTATAATTATCTTGGTGTATTGCTTTCATCCACATTTTTTGCAATTCAGAATTTTTTTGGAAATGAAAATGTTTGCATTTCTTCAGTTTTTAAGGAACTCCTAATAGTTCGATTTGCACCCAGGAACACACTAGTTTCATGGCATCTGGAACAAGTTTAAATATCTTAGGTAATATATCGAGACATATGCTCTTGCAGACAAATATTAATATTGTTTTTATTGTTTTATCTCACCTTACCTTCATTTTTGCTCCTGTACCCATTTGCTAAAAAGTTGCAATCAAAGCACAAAGGAACAGGTATCAACTAAATATGGGCAATATATTGGTGTGTTTCTATCCGCTTTTTCGTCAATAATGCCCACAAAAATACTAAACTGCAACAATACACAATGAAAGCAATACACAGAAACACATAAGCCAATAACAAAATAGCACCATACGCGACGTTGCCGTCATTTCCAACTTCATGGCTTGTTAAGTATACAGGTTAAGTATAGGAGGCAGTGCCACACGTCGTTGAACTGTTGAATTTGGCTGTCATTTTGAGCAGCGTTGCCAGATGGTCAGCGGCTTGAATACTATTGGTCGCCGCTGTGGCGCTAAATTCAAATTACAGTTTGTTTTTCTCTTACTAATTCTATAGACACTATGCTGGAAAATAATTTAGTATCCCACTATACCATCACCATTTAGCTTATAAAATAAGGTCGAGCAGATTTTTTACTGATTTTTATACATAGTATACTACCCCATTTGAATCAAAAAATTTGATCTGATAATAATATATCGTATCAAAAGTATCGATATTTTCTCATATTAATATCGATGTGAGAGAATATTGCTCGATAGCTGTGAATATCGATAAGCGCTTCTCTGGACTCTGTTTACAAATTATGTTCTCAAGATCCAAGGATATATTACACACTACTACAGGATTGTAGGCCTCGATTTTTGGAATCAAGGTCATATTATTATGGTATTGCACCGTTGGCGATGTCATAAACGGTGTCGTTAGCTGTTTGCGCTAGCGGTCGTAGTTTATTGTCTGGAATATACATTTATGATGAAAAATATTATTTAATTTTGATAAACACTTATGACATGCGTGCACCCCACTTGATAACAAACAATTTAAAATAGGGTAGTGGACAAGGTATAATTTCAATGAAATCGATGATCTATTGTTCATCTATGGAGTAAATGAAAAATATTCCTATTGAAAGAAATTTCAGAAAAAATTGCTAACTTGGTTTAAAACGATTGTAAAACTAGAGTTTTGGGACGCAATATTTAAACGAACATATTTCGCGCCTTGATTCTACGTCATAGCTGTTGTATTTGAGTATGAAGTGAATTAAACCTTCGTCCTATATTCGACACACACTTACTCATTAGTGCAAAAAAGAGAGATATATCGGCGTCTGTCAAGGCGCACCCTCAACTTAACCCCACTTTTTGAGAGATTTTCATTTGTCAATCAATGCGCACTGAGCTTATATGCATCTTTTTCTAGAAGCATGTAAAATATAAGGACGCACTGACCGTGCTCTCGCCCACTCTTATTAATGTCGGAATGCCTTAGACATAACAGCTGTGACGTAATTTCCGGGCGGTAAATTATAGCGTTTAAAATAAGTATAAATTTGTTTATTTTTTTTTTAGGTATATTTTTGTTTTCTAAAATCAAGGAATCATCAACTACTATTTATTTTGTTATGGAGATTAAAAAAAAAAATATTTCAAAAAATTGTCCACTACCCTATTGTTTCTGTGCTTCAGTTCGTTTTCTGCGACGTCATTGGTTCATCGCGAGAATATACCTACTATTTCAAACCTGTTTTGAACCAGTTTCAAAATTGGACGCGAGAAAACAGCTTTGATCTACCTCTTATGGGGATAGGCCAAGAACACTTTAATCTGGACTGTTGAGTTGAAAATGTTTTCCATTTCAGCTGCAGACATCAACTCTTGGCGTAAAATGCATTAGGCGAGTTTAAAACAGTATAGGTCAAAAAAATGAATTTCTAACGTTATAATCGTGCAAAACTCACCGTTTTTACATATAAAATCGATGAAAAAAACAGCACTACCTGAATCGCAAGCATCACATCTAGGCCTGCGGGTGACGTCACCACTATAAGCTGTTATGCTGCTAATAGTGGTGACGTAACTCGCAGGCCTTGACGACTTAAGGATTGGCGAACGTACGCTTTATGAGGATGAGCAATCCTGTTAGTTTACGATTCTTGGGGACAGCGGCGGATTTAGGATTCCTTCTAGGGGGGGGGGGGCGATCCATCAGGGCCTCAGGCTCAGATAAGAAATAATAAAAAAACGACTTAAATATACAGAGTGGCAAAAAAGTCGCGTATAATACCTGTAACTTTCTAATTACCTCGTATACGAAAAAGTGACCTTAATGAAAGTTGCTCAGTAAATTAGGGACATAAAGCTTCCGTATTTTTTGCTCGGTATCCGTATCGGTTTCGTACTGCGCATGTGCAGAAGCGATACGGAGGCCGAGATACCGTACGTACAACGTAACGTTACGGCCCTCTCACGGTATCCGTATCGGTAACGTATCTTGACATTCCTGACGCATGTCAAATTTCAAATGAATATAACCTCCCTTTTCTTCCGGGTTGATTTAAGTAATTTGTTTAGTTTATACTTTCTTGAGTTCCTTGTGTGTTTAGTGCTTCTCTATCGCAAAAAAAATAACAATTTTGAGGTTAGATATAAAAACGCCGAAGTTTTGAGACAAAAATGTCTAGGTTATGAAATGCGTTTACGTTTACCGGAACAGGGAGCGCTTTAACAGCCTTTTCGCTTGTCAACGTATCTAGTTGCGTTACGGATACCGATACCGATGAATTATTTCAAGTAGCTTTATGTCCCTAATATTTCCCACAATTCTACTTAAACGTATTGCCTGTGTCACTTCTGGTTTGTTTGCTATCTAGACCAACTTTCTTTTTTTCAAATAAAACACCCTGTATGTGATTGCATATTTGGATTCTACGAAAAATTCTGAGCAGATTTCATGTGATATACCCTATACCTAAGTTCAACTGTTTTGGAAATATTGACAGTTGAACATTGACTTTTTGCAACTTTGACAGGCTGTAAAACCTGAACGGTTAATTTCAGAGGAAAACCGATTTTACATTCCTATCTTAGATTTTCATAAACTATCATTTGA